TCACTATATGGTTAGTGTGGTTAGCCTATCTCTCTTTCAGAAACCTGTCACACACAGCATCTATGTTACAACATCAAGTTTGTTACAGTGTTTTCCCAGTTACGATGACTTCATGCAAGCTGTTAACCATTACACTCTACCCACATCTATACATACATACTTACATAGATTTAAACGGAGACAGAGACAGATATGGTGCAACGTTGTCCGTTACGTGGGTAATCAGGGTGAAATAAAAGCAGGAAGATTGCATTGCGTCATATCTAGCCGCTTGACAGTTTCCGAATCTCAGCATTCGTAAATCAAGGTCTTTTGACCACGGTCTGTCGTCGTCCTTCCTCACCCCCCACACCTCCATATACACCTGCCCCGCCACCAAATACATCTACGTCCCTCCCCACCGCCGCCGCCGCTTGTAAATAAACACGATTTTTAATTAGAAAATATTTTTTGTATACTTTGTGATTTCACCCCCACCTCCGCCATTTCGTCTTAACTTCTCATCTTTTAGCGAAAACTAGTCAAGCGCCTAATTTGAAACTCATAAAAACCGGCTGGGATACATAACGAGAATTCTGGCCCACGAAAACACAACAAAATGGCCGAGCATTTTGACCATGACTTAACAACAACAACAACAAAAGATTAAACGAAAGTAAGTGTGTGTATGTGTGTGTGTGTGTGTGTGCTGCAAAGATGTCCGCCGGCGAGTTGTATATTAGAATACTGGATAGTGATATTTTATGAGTTGAGAGAAGATGTGTAAGTGTTGGTAACGATAGCGACGAGTGGGTGAAGATGACGTGTTCCATTTTTTATCTGTTTCTCTTGACATTGAATTTAATATTTGATCGTTTTCTCTTTTCTCCTTTATTCCTTCCTAAATTTCATTTTCTCCTTCCTGTTGTCTTGGAGCCTATAAGCATTGAATTTCTTTTTTTTTTTTTTTTAATCTATAGATTCTAATTAGATCCTATCTAACATTGTGGAAACTTATTTCATTCAGCTTTCACTTCATGTTTGGTTTTTACCGTTTCTTTTTATTATATTTTTATTGACTTTGCTTGTCGCTTTCATATTCTCAGTTTTCTCTTTCTTTCCGATTTAACTCCTCACTGTATCAATTTCTTTCTTTCTTTCTTTCTTTCGTTTGATCATTGTATTTCATATCTCACTGTCTTAGTATTTTCTTTCTATTATAATTTTTCTTTCTTTCTTTTTTTCTTTCTTTCTTTTATTTTACTTTCTTTCCATATTACTTTCTTTCTATTATATTTTTTCTTTCATTCATTTTTTCTTTCTTTTGGACATTTTATTTAATATCCCAGCGGGTTAATTTTTTTGTTTCTATTATAATTTTTCTTCCTTTCCTTTCTTTCTTTTTTCTATTCTTTCCATATTAGTTTCTTCATATTATATTTTTCTTTCTTTCTTTCTTTCATTCATTCATTTTTCACTTTCTTTCTTTCTTTCATTCATTCATTTTTCACTCTTTCTTTCTTTCATTCATTTTTCACTCTTTCTTTCTTTCTTTCTTTCTTTCTTTCTTTCTTTTGATCATTCTATTCCATATCCCACTGTGTTAGTATTTGTTTTTCTCCAAAAATTTTTCTTCCTTTCTTTCTTTCCTTCTTTGTTCTATTTTATATTCTTTCTATATTAGTTTCTTTCTTTCTATTAAAAATATCTTTCTTTTCTTTTCTTTTCCTTTCCTTCTTTCTTTCTTTTCCTTACATCAGCTATGAAAAACTTAATATTCTCGTAATTCACTTTTTTCTGAAAGTCGCCTCCTTACGTCTTGTATAAACATAACACACACACACAAACATGTCCACCATCACTGGAGTTTTGATTAAATGTTACGGTTTTCAAAGGGCCCTTATCATACGGGGATTTCGACGCCATAAACATGGCAGGCAAAGATTGCGGCTCTTTTGAGAGGCAAATGGAAGTGCGCATGGTAATAAGTAATGTTTTCGAACTTTGACATCGATTTGTTAAATAACCCGCTTTGTATGGAGTAAGGACAAACGGGTCATACATATATATATATTAAAATCTCTCGCATCGGCTTCGACATATGAAGGTTCAACAGTTCAGTTCTTAGAACTGAACAGTCAACCTACTTCTATCCGAACCTGTGATTTGATTATAGCAGTGAATGTTTCTGCATATATATATATATAGGGTTCGATGGGTATATATATATATATATAGGGTTCGATGGGTATATATATATATACATATATATTTATATATGGTTCGATGGGTAAATTGTCGCCATTTTATATTTTTAATTTTGTACATGCGCGTTGTTTGTTTTGATTTCGTCGACTGCACAGTATAGTAAGGTCAGTTGGGCTCCATCTGTGAGAAAAAGAGCACTATGGTTGTTGTGGAGTGATTTCACAGTGGAGTCTTGTATTTGTACTAAGTCGGTCCTAAAATAGGTTCGACGTACAAAACGTTAGGAACTTGATATAATAGGTGTGACGCAGAGTAATCTAGTTGTAGTCGCTAAAACTTTAGTATCCGACATCGACTGATTGCTCTACTCTTGGTATTAAGCCCTCTTTTGAATTAATGCTGTGAACGCTAGAACTTATATTATTTTCGTTTCATTACATCCGGATATATATATATATATATATATATATATATATATCTGAGATGAAGTATTATGTACATTATTTACATTATTCGGACTATTGTCCTCATCTTTGTCACCATATTTATTACAACATTTCGTTGTATATTGTCCATATATATGCATATCCGAGCGATTTCGGCTATTCTATTCGACATTATCAATAATGCTTTTGTACTTTTTTTCATAGTTAAGCGAATATGGAAATGTTTTTAAATATGTTTATAGAGTGATGGGTATGTATTCTTATTTTCCAAACACGTCCAAGTCTATTGCTTTTGAAACGTTGTAACGTACATTTATTAAATTGTAACGTACATTTATTAAATTGTAACGTACTTTTGTTAAATTGTACCGTACATTTATTAAACTGTAACGTACTTTTATTAAATTTTAACGTGCTGTTATTAAATTGTAACGTACTTTTATTTAATTATGACGTACTTTTCTTCAATTGTATCGTACATTTATTAAATTGTATCGTACATTTATTAAATTGTAACGTCCATTTATTAATTTGTAATGTACTTTTATTAAATTTTAATGTACTTTTATTAAATTGTAACTTACTTTAATTAAATCGTTGGTTGTTGTTGTCGTTTAGGTTAGTCTTTACTGGCGGGTCACCGGTGGAAACAAAAATGTCGGCGCCCATGAGAAAGCATTTTCTGATACATTTTAACCTACGTGCACCAACAGGTTTAATCGCAATGACACGTTTAGCGTGAAATAAATGTTCAGACTTCTGTTGAAGCTATATATTAACTAATAAATGTTTTTTATTGACTAAGTAGGCTATTATAAAGTTCTCGTTTGAAGTCAGATTTGTCTCTGACAGTCAATCTTTTAACAGGTCTTGAACGCCGATCTGTGACACTAGTTAGTAATACCTAACTATGAATAAAGATAAAAAAACGAACCTTTTCTTTTAACTTTTGAACATTATTAAAGTCATGTATATTGTCTTGGGACAGTATTAATTATTTCAGTTAAACGATAAAAGTCACAACCTCATGTAATTTAAAATATATGGCATAAAGTAATCCCTGTTGTGAATATGGATTATCTCCTCTTTGATAATCCAAGCTATAAAAGCTGTACATTTCCGCTTGTCAAGTAGACGAGTAGTAAGATTCTTAATTGAATAAAAGATTACTAGACAGAATCTCTTGTCCTGTTTTCATTACAATCCCAGAATGAAATAATTTAATTACTAATTTGTATTAAGAGATTTCAAGAACATCACATACTCACTTATAAATTATTAGACATTGAATTGTATCGCTTCGCGTCCTTCAGAGCTTTGCCCGAATTTTGACCAATCTGATGAATATTTATGAGCATTCTTAAGTTAAGATATTAAAAAAAAAATAATAACATTTTGCTCTTATATATAAATACTTGCTACCAAATAAATCTTTTGCGTTGATAAAGTCCCTCAGAGGACAAAACATGGCGACTAAGATAAGTTTCCTTTTTTCTTTTTATCTATATTATCCGTTTACAGATATACTCTCGTCGTCGCCGTTGGAGGAACTCGTTGCCTGTTATTGGGGTGCCCATCGACATTTCGTTCTGTGTGAAAATGAATCCTATGTTGGATCTGAAGTCGTTCTCAGCCAACACATAGGGTAGGCGGTTTCGAGGGATGGCGAGCTCTGACTTTTCTTTGAGCTCTTTTCTCCACTTCTACTTGTCTTCTGATGTTTTCGAAGGATGTTGTTTCTTTTTTTTTGGGGGGGGGGTTCTTTCTGCAGCCTCCGTCTCCCAATTGAGCGGATCGATTTCTATCCTCAGCAAGGTGTTTTTCAGCTGATCCTTGAAACGACGCCGTAGGACTCCACGTGGTCCCTTGCCGGATGCGAACTAATATAATTAATATTATTTTTTGATGATTTATACACATATATATTTGATGTTCTCGTTTCTATAAAAATGTCAATGGTAACTACTAAAGTTAAACATAAGGAATAAATAAACTCCTAAGACACGTGTCTGGGTCAAAAATGCACATTAAAGAAATTTTGGCAGTTAATGGGTTAAGTTTCGGGGGATCAATGTATGCACACACTCTCAAGTCATGTAATACTCTTCTGTTCATTAAGTGTTCAAAATACTACTTACCTGCAAACACTTCTTTTGTTATTCCGTAACCATTCATTTGGTCACAACAAAAATAAAATCAGTTGAATTTGAAACCGGCTTGATTTTTCATTGATTTTATATATATATATATATATATATATATATATATATATATATATATATATATATATATATATATATACTAGCTGGCTGGGCGAATCCATTCTGTGAGGGTGTTTGGCTATCCTCAGCTGACTCAGCTGTATTTTCAGGTGGGGTAAACCTTCTGCTTCACAAGTTTAAAGAATAAAGAGTTTCGCGTGATCAGATGGTCATCACGGCCTGCAGTCGCCATATTGCTTTTTCTTTGGCAGACTGTACGGCATTGGATTGAAGGGCAGGGAAATCTTGTTGGGCCTAGTTTGTTTGAAAAGCACGCCGTCGCCTGGAAGCAAATGGCGATGCTTGGACAAGGCCCCCCCCCTAATCTACATTTGTCTTCATCTTGTCTTTATATTACATTCATTACATGAACATTACCTTACTTCGCATATATATATATATATATATATATATATATATATATATAGTCGACTCTCCCCTCGAATTCGACGTATGAGGGTCAAGCAGATCAGTTTCCAGGAAACCGTCAGCCCGACAACGACACATGAGATTTGATTATAGGGGTGAAGGCTTCGTGCAGGACCATCCCCACTTTTTGAAGGGGCCGAATACAGAGACTTGGTGCACTAAGTGCCACAAGGTCCCCAAACGACCCTCTGCAGGTTTTGAATTCAGAGTTGGCCTTCTCCTAGACCAGTTGCCATCCAAGGCTATAGAACCCAGTATGCCCTGCTATTTTACACATAGCTGGAGGGAGAAGAAGAGGATTTATACCTTTCCCAAGGGTAATAGCACGTAAGTGAATGTAATGGATCTGACTGTAATTCGAACTCGGCTCTGCGATTCCTCAATCCGTGCCTCCTATAATTAATATATATATATATATATATATATATATATATATATATATATATATGATGATGTGTATATACTTACCCATTGATTTTGAACGTTTTCGATCCAACAGTTCCGTTATAAATTCTATTGCACGACTCCCACACAGATGAATTGTTTAAAGTGGGGAAGGATCGTCTAGAACCAACTACCTTTTTAGAAAATTATGAAATCTTCAAACAGCTGTCCTTAAATTTGAATCCAGAATTTTCCTTCTTCTATACTGGCTGTCAGTCAAGGCAATATAATATTGTCTGCCTTGAAGGGTGAAAAATGAATTCATGTCTTTTCCAATGGCACTGCGGAACAAAATTGTTGTGATGTCCTTCCTCCAAAAAGTCGATTGTGGACTCTTCCACTGAGTATAAAACTGGTTGGAGATTATGTCTAAAGGAATCAGTGGACCCGGAAACTCTCAAGTCATGTAATAATCTTCTGTTCATCTTCTGTTCAAAATAATACTTATCTGCAAACATTTCTTTTTATTATTCCGTAACCATTCATTTGGTCACAACATAAACAAAGGTAGAAAGGGTTGTAAGATAAGGATACAGTTTCTCTTTGGATTTAATTATCAACGAGGTAATCCTAAGTGAGCTGGATAATCTGCTTGGATTTATTATTAGTGGATATAAACCCAACAACACACGTAATGCAAATGATGCCGTATTGATAACAGGCACGGAAAATTGCAAGTGTTTTTAGATACGGTAGTAAAAGAAGGCGAGAACAAGGGACTAACTATCAATTGTAAGAAGGCATAATGGAATGACATTAGCAAGAGGAGAAGTCCAAGATGGATGTGCTATAATATACAACGAAAAATATCATAAAGAAAGCCGAACACACATAAGGATAGGGAAAGATGCTTTTCAGAAATTAAGCCAAATATTAAGAAGCAGGAAAATTTCGTTGGAAGCAAAGATGGATTATCAACGAATAAGTAGTATCAATAAGGCGATGGATGCTGGACAGATTAAGAGAAGGCTGGAGGCAGCAGAAATGCGGGATTGGACATTAATAGAATAAAAGCAAAGAAAATAAAAATGAAATAGAAAAAAGAGAAACAAAAGAAATAAAATGAAACAGAAAGAAAAAGAAAAAGAAAAGAAAAAGGAAAAGAAAAGAAAAAGAAAAAGAAAAGAAAAAAGAAAAGAAAAAGAAAAAAAAAAAGAAAAGAAAAAGAAAAGAAAAAAGAAAATAAAAAGAAAAGAAAAAAAAGAAAAAGAAAAGAAAAAGAAAAAGAAACGAAAAAGGAAAGGAAAAAGAAAAAGAAAAACAAAAGAAAAAAGAAAATAAAAAGAAAAGAAAAAAGAAAAAGAAAAGAAAAAGAAACGAAAAAGGAAAGGAAAAAGAAAAGAAAAAGAAAAAGAAAAAGAAAAGTAAAAAAAAAAGAAAAAGGAAAGGAAAGAAAAAGGAAAAGAAAAAGAAAAAGAAAAGAAGAAGAAAGAAACAGAATTCTAAAACGAAGAAAAAGAAGAATAGAAAAGAAAGAAAAAAGAAGAAAATGAAAAAAAACAACAAAAAAAAAAAAAAAAAAACGAAAGAAACAAAATACTAAGAAACCAAAAAATCAAAATGAAAGAAATAAAATATGGCGAATATGGGACATACCGATTTTTTCTAATCAGAAACAGTTTCTCTTTCATTCGCTCCGATTCTATTCCAAATCCAATCACTCATTCTTCTTTCTAACACCAAGGTCTGTGCCCTTTCATTGCTTTTCACCTAACCCAACCCGTTTCTCACAATTTGCATAGATAAGTACTTACGGGCATATATATCTTTCAGGGCTGTTTGTTCGAGAGTTCGTTTCGTGGCATCATTGATTTATTGACATTTATTAGCATTTATTTGCCGATCCACAATGGTCGAGGGTCAACAATTAGAGTGAATGGTGGAGCGACATAATCCGTATAGTCACGTGACACGGCCGAGGAGAGAAGGTCGCATTTCAAGGTGGGTAATATGAAAAAAACATAGAACAAGAAAATAAAAACTAAATAAAACTCAAAAGCAAGTCATCTTGGCGTCATCGCTTTTTGTAATGGTTTAAGTATTGTTTATTTTTTACCTCGCCTCGTCTGAGGAGTAACTTTCAGGCGGCAGCCGCCAATTTCACGTCATTTGAATATGATTATATTGCTTGATGAGCTTGTTTTAGTATGGCATAAGGCTATAAGTATTGGGCGACTAGTGGGGTTCCAACAAACTATTTAGCAGTAATGATCAGCTAGATTTGCTTGTTAACTATTGCCCTAACCCGAGGCGCCATGAATTGCTATTTATTGAGCTTAGACTACGAGTATCGACTGAAAAGTTCATAGGCTGACCAAGATACTCTCATGGAATGTGACCAAGTGGGGTTTATTTTTCAACTGAGTCCGCCTTACCAGCCATCTTCCATCGGTGTTGCAGTGGTTGGATCCCATTGGGGAAGAAGCTTTCATCTTGCTGATTATCGCAGCCCCAATCGCTACTCCGTTCACGTGATCAAGGGCAGACGTTATATATCTTCACGAGCTTGACCGTTTAATCACTGCGTTGCCCCACACCCTTCAATTTAATATATGGTAAGTCTTAAATAAGTTTTAGATTCATAATAAACCTAATTTCTTTTCAGTTGTTTCAGTATTACGAACTTACTCTGAATATTTAGGGGGAACATTTTGATACTTTTTGTACTTCGTAGCAACTTTGGATTTATTCCCTTTTGATTTTGAGTGCAATGGCAAGTCCAGTTAATATTCTTGTACACCCTTGTCATATATATATATATATATATATATATATATATATATATATATATACTCGCGGTTTTTCGACGCTTAGGGAGGGATGAGGAGGAAACGAAGACTGAAGTCTGTATCGTTTTTCAGGATAAAACAGCACAGGTTTTGTGTTAATTTTAACGTTGTCGTTCGTTGTCCTCTTGTTGACCTGTCAGATTTCACGTCTTTTATTTTGAAAATGTTAGTGTGCCTCCTGTGACATCTATGCTTTATTGGGCCACACAGGGCATGTTATATCGCACCCCCAAGAGTTTCGCTACATGGTCGAAGAAGTCATCAACAGCGGATATGACGTCATCATCACTGTGTTACTAGTTCACAGTCAAGTGTTTCTTCATGTTGGGGAACAGATGATAGTCAGATGGGACTAAATCAGGAGAATAGGGTTGGTGATCAACCAGTTCAAAACCACTATCACGCACAGTAGCTATTGAAACCAAAGATTTGTGTACTGTTCTGATGAAACAAGACCCCTTTCGTTAGTTTTTCGGGGAGTTTGGTTTTGATAGCCGTTGGTATGCCAACAAGTTGGCATAGTGCTCTCCATTGATGATGTGGCCCTTTCGAAGAGACTCTATAAATAAGGTCTTTGTAATCCCCATAAACTGAAGCCATCACCTTCTCTGCAGATGAAACGATTTTCGCTTTTTGGGGAGCAGAAGTGGAGGGGTGTTTTCATAGCAGGGATTGTCTCAGTTGACAGGTTTGCCGTAAGGTTTACGGTCTTCCAAATTAAAATTTCAGTTTCTGAACGTGTCTTTAATTTGAACAAAATCTCCAGCAATCTCATTCCCAAAACACCCCCAAGCCATTACAGCAACACTGCCTTGCAAGGCCTCTGATCAGGAGGTTTTGAGGAGCGTGGAACCACCTCTTAATTGCTGGTGTTCCCATGTTTACCCTGACCCGGAGTGGTAGCACCTGTTAGGATCCCAGCTGTGGGCAAATAGTTAACCCCGAAACAGGTAAAAAGCATTATAAAAGTGTAAAAATAGGTTTTAATACCAGGTATACTTTGTAAAAAGTTATTACCAGAAATAAATTTTTGAAGAAAAAAATATTACCAGCAATACATTTTTTAAAATAATATTACGAGCTATACATTTTTGAGGAAAAAATATTACCAGAAATAGATTTTTGACAAAACAAAATACCAGGAAAAAAGTTGTCGGCATTAAATAACCCGTTGGTGTTGATATACCGTAAAACACAACCAAGCAAACCAAACCTTTTTTTAAATAGAGGTTTCTTAACTGATACACTTACTTCAAGCCCAACAGAGAGAAGTCTTCTCTTGGCAGTCATAACAGATATTGGACGTTGACGTATAGAATTAGTTTCAGCTGCTAGTTGGGCAGCTGTATTTCTTTTGTTCCTTTTGCTAGACACGGTCAATTGATGTCAACAGATGTTACTCTGCCCACCTAGATCTTTTTTCTGTCAACATTTGCGCCAGTTTCTGTATGTCGCTGCAGGCAATAAGGCCCACCATTCTGTAAATTTCTAGCAATCTGACGCTCGGAATACCCTTCTCTAGAAAGAATTTCGTCTTGAGCTCTTTTTCCAATAATAATCTATTTAATTCTTGGCATTTTAACGGTTTCTGAAAATGAATTTCAATCACACATCAATCTAGATGGAATTGAACCTATATCAAGAAGGGGAGTTGAAATATTCTGCTCTACAGTTCAGAAAAGATATCAGGTTGGAAGAAAAATTTCAAAGTTTATGAAAATAAATTTATAATGCCTGTAGAAAAATATGTCTAGATTTTATATAAAGATATGCATATATACACAATAGGTAAAATTATTTATCCAAATATGCAGCATTAGCCTCTTTTATTAACTTAGAGATACAATTCAGGGTGTTCCCAAACTTTTGATCCGTAGTGTAAAAGCATTCTTGTCCAAATCGTGTAACAGCAGCCGTTATATCTTAGAAATGATTAAAGATATCTTACTGGAATTCTCTGAAGTTTTTATAACAGTATTAGACTCTACTTTGCGGAATACGAATGTATAATTACTCTCCAAGCTTAACAGAAGAATCGTGATGAAATCGATCTTAAACGAAAATGACATGCATATCGTTAATCATAGCTAAGAGTCGGAAGCTCATGAAGGATTGAAATTAAGTTCAAATATATATATATATATATATATATATATATATATATATATATATATAGATAGATAGATAGATAGATAGATAGATAGATGGATAGATAGATAATATTAGTGGTAAATATACATACGTATGCAAAATATATAAATATCCATACATGTATATTTTCAGAAAAAAATTTCAAGAGGAAGAATCCAGGTAGAACTCAATGTCTAGGACAGAGTAAGGATATAATAAAAAGGCTTAAACACTAATATTCCATGGTCATATATATATATATTATTCCAGAATCATTTTCCAACTTATTCAAGATGATCTTCGCCCTCTCTAACCTTCTAACTTTCTGTCTTGTAGTAACAAGTTGCCTCCCAGGTTCCACGTAAAAGTTCATTTTCAAGACTTTTTTCTCTGCTCTTTGGAATGCCATGGCTAAAACTCCTCACTCCATGCGAAACGTCTTATGAATTGAGTTGGATCTTTTCAAATTGATTTCTTTAGCTCTAAATTGATCTGATGCTTCCTCTTCCTGTTGTGACCTCCTGATTCAGTTTTCCTCTCTACTGTTCCCTCTTTTTTTAAACTTATTTACCGTTCCCTTGATGGTTCTTGAATGAACTTTGAAGATGAAAGCCAGAGTATGAATGTTGGTACCATTACCGAAGGCCTGAATGATCTTTTTCCTCTCACCATTGCTCAATTTAAGAGATAGTGTGGCTGACACAAAATGATTTTACCCTATTATCTTTCTAGATTAATAACTCAAAGGGTTTTTCGGTGATTCTTACAACAAATGGCATGAAGATGACTAAACATATTATCTGGAAACCTGGAATAAGTAACCCAGTTTATTGTTTTTCCTTAGATATTATCCTTTTCTTAGGCGGGCAGTTATGCTCTAACACGATTTGGGCAATTTACTGTTACCTATATATATATATATATATATATATATATATATATATATATATATATATATATATATATATATATATATAAATATAAATACAGATAACTAAACTCGTTTCGAAAAACTATCGAATTTTTTGGTTTATTAATCAAATCAATTTCGAGGGAAAAAAGGTTTTAAAAAAGAAAGAGCTACAAACATGAACTTCTGCCGACAAAAATCGCACAGATGCAGGTCTGAAGCCCAAAGAAAAAACCCCTGATACGAGTAACAACTAACTAACAAAAGAGCTCAATACAATCGTAGAGCAGACCTAGATACACCTAGTGAGCCAGACAAATTTGTTTAGGTTTCATTAAACGGATCGTCAGGGAAAGTTTTTGTCACGTGGTATGATTTTAGCTATCAACTATAAATATGTGTTTTCTTTGCCTCGTTAGCCAAGCTTTCCTGACGATCCGTTTAGGTTAAACCTAGGTAGGTTTGTCTGGCTGTACTAGGTGTATCTATATATATATATATATATATATATATATATATATATATGTGTGTGTGTGTTATACTGAAGAGAAAGAACAGTAAGATATATAATCCGGTGTTCTTATTATTTTTTTTATTTTTACAAAACTGTGTTCAATGCAAATCTACAAAGCATAAATATATAAATTTACTAATTTAAAAATATGGTTCCATAGCTATGCAGGAATTATGTTTCAATAACAGAAACTAAATCTTTAAATTCAATCACAGACTTAAATTAAAGTCCCTAGTCCTGTTTCATTTTCAAGTGAATTTTGAAATAACTTATTTTGAAATTTACTGAGTTTTATAAGCACATACATTAATAATATTAGTTTCTAAGGATACAGGGAAATTCAATCATTTAAGGAGTGGTAGGGTATTCATTTTCAGTGACAACTATTGT